CCCCCCCCCCCCCCCAATACAAAATTGCTTCCTACGGTAGTGCTAATTAATCCATTTCTGCAGTGCTAAATCTATAAATGTGCAGTTAGCAAGCTAACGAAAATATAACCTTAAAATATGTTTGTCGTTTCAAAAATGCAATCATTGAGCCTCAAAAATATATAAATTTTCTGGGTGAGAACGCCCAGAACCCCCTATCTTCCGCGCAAAAATCTTACCTGTTGTGTTGGAAAGTGCAACACTTTGTCGCCCCCACTTTTATCCCTGTGAAACAGAATGATTAAAGTAGTAAAGCTTTTCTTCGCTGTCTCAAATGCAAACTAATTATCTATTGAATACTCATGATTCCCCGTTATATGGTTAGGTTTTCTAACCGTAGAGAACTTTTCAAGTCAACCCTTGTCAGGAAACAGTGTTGCGCATCTTGCCCGCATCTACTCATAGAATCTACTGAACTTGTGACTATCGCCCGTATTCTATAAGCTCACTCACACTCAATGAGTGGAGGTTCAATCTGAGCTTCCCTTGAGTGTCAGTGCTGTTTTTGAATAGCTGGAGAGTGAGTAGTCACATAGTACGGTACGGCACTAACCCTCCAGCTATTCGAAAACGGAAATGACACTCGAGAAAAGCTTCAATTGAACCTCCACTCATTGAGTGTGAGTGCACTTTTAGAATACGGGCGTATGTCTTCCATTGAATTAAATTATCAAGTATTCTGAAATCAATATTTGACCCTGTTAAAAGGTCATTATTAAGACCTTTACATTTTTCTTGACGTGCCTCCACAATGCATGAAATACCGTCTCAGAGACCCAAACATGATGCCCCCAGACCTACCTAGAATTGCGACTCACAAAGTATTAAGTTGTCCCTTCCCCCAAAAATCCTGGCGGCGCCACTGGCGGTTCGTAAGATTCCAAATGCGTCCATTACACGAAAATTTCGGTAATCGTTCCATGTTTCGCGCACCATTATAGTAAACGTTATGTAATGGATATTATAGTGTACTGAAAAGTTAACTGGATACCTCCATACACATATATACACACCCTAACCCAAACCTTAGACCTAACCCCTAACCCTAACCCCTAACCTAACTCCTAACCCTAATACCTAACCCCTAACCCTAACCTATATTGGTGCGCGAAACATGGAACGATAACCAAAATTTCGTCAGGTTGTAGTCTTAGAAATTTTGCATATGTTTATACGAACAATTATTGAAGTTATATGCACCATAGCCTATCGAAGGAAAGATGGCTGTGAAACTCATTAGAATAACAATATAACTCATTATCTATGTTGGTCAACGTTTATTCATAAATCTGGTCCTTCACCGTCACGTGTGTATTGTATTTTTACCCAACTAACCAATTGCAATGTTTTAGGAAAGTCACCTATCCGTGACTCGAACAATAGGGAAACTGGAAATTGCTATTGGTGGATTTGGTAAAAATACAATACACACGTGACGGTGAAACGACCAGATTTATGAACAAACGTTGACCAACATAGATAATGAGTTATATTGTAATTCTAATGAGTTTCACAGCCATCACCCCTTCGATAGGCTGCTGTATGTATGCACTTAAAGTCCGTTATATACTATTGCAATTTTAATTATCTTAGAGTCAAAACTCATCTCTTAGATAAAATGTTCGATGCCTACTATTAGGCCGTGGGCCAAAATTATTTCACTTCGTGGCACCCATGTGAGAAGTTCTTGGTTTGTGGTTTATTTGAAAGGCATATAGGTACATTACTACCAAAAAAGTTCCCAAGCAGAAACCGTGCCCAATACAGAGTAAATGGTTGATTAATAATTATCCTCTATTAAATTGTATATTACAGCAAAAAATGGGAAATTTTGTATTCAATTACAATGAATATTACATGGCATGCATCATCGGCAAACGTACAAAAAATCGTATAGAAGACTTTTAAACATTTTTTTGATTCTTCAAATAGTCTTTGAGTTATTGCCGTTTTAAATGTGAAAATTGGACCAAAATGTCGCAATAAGGACTGGGTACTAGGTCAAAAGCTATTCATGACAGCGTATAACTCGAAAACAATTTGTTGTAATTGAATACAAAATTTCACATTTTCTTGCTGTAATACAATTTAATAGAGGATAATCACTGATCACCTATTTTCTCGGTATCAGGTGCAAGTTTTTTGCTTGGGAACTTTTTTGGTAATTGAGCATCTATGGTACTATGCACTGAACAACAGAAAATATATTATGATTTTTTTCTGTGTTGGTGTAATGTTCTCAGGTGAATATGATGCTTGTGATGTTACTCTGAGTGTATACCCACACCGCGGGCAAGCTTGAAAAATATGCCTGGCCACAGTAGGAATCGAACCTACGACCTTCGGTAGGTTCGAACCTACGACCTTCGTAGGTTCGATTCTCACTGTGGCCAGGCATATTTTTCAAGCTTCCCCGGTGTGGATAATACACTCAGAGTAACATCACAAGCATCAGAAAATATGCTTGTGATGTTACTCTGAATGCATATCCACACCGGGCAGGCTTGAAAAATATGCCTGGCCACGGTGGGAATCGAACCTACGACTTTTGGAATACTAGCCCAATGCTTTGGCAACTGAGCTACGCGGTCAGGTCGGTTCAGGGTATTTCGGAACTGAGTCTAGTTCCTTCGATATCAGTGTAATCTAATAATTATGATATTTGCTGTCTTGCATGGTAATCTATAGTAATCTGCTGTCTAGTGTAATCCAATAATCATGCATGACAGCAAATATCATGATTATTATATTACACTGATATCGAAGGAAATAGACTCAGTTCCGAAATATCACATACTCGAACCGACCTGACCGCGTAGCTCAGTTGGAAGAGCATTGGGCTAGTATTCCAAAGGTCGTAGGTTCGCGATTCCCACCGTGGCCAGGCATATTTTTCAAGGCTGCCCGGTAGAAAATATATTCCCCACTTTCCAGAGGGTGCCATGAAATTGCTTTTCTATATAGGCACTTCGCACAACGGCCCACGGCCTATATTAAGTAACTGTCTGAAACTCAGAAACACGGCCATTGCATTTTTTTCGGGACCCTGTATATGAACATTTTATATTGAAGTTACATATATTAGCCTTATAGGCTTAGGTCTGTGTGAAACGTCGAACTTTTCGACATTCGTGTAATGTAAGTCATTGGTCCTATATGATTCTTTTATATTCCACTATTTAAATTAATTAGAACTATGTACTGGATCAGCAGGTTTTCGATAAGATAGATTTCCTACTTTTTCGTTGATTAACTGCATGCTACATGTATAGAAGCCAAGAAGAACGCCCTATATAACAAACAAGCGACAGCTCAGTTGGCTATAGTATAGCTTAATAATTTTCCATGTAAAATCATAAATACTGTCATTGACGACAAAATTAATCAGACGTTCACTGTGGTTACTGAAGAAAATATTTAATCCTATAAACCTCGTGTTGTGTCAATGAATAATAACTGCATGTACAGTTAAATTACCTGACAGGCCCGACATGCAATGACGTTACAGTTTTATTGTGTGAGGCGTCAAATGTCAAATATTATAAGCTTCTAGATCCCGCAATTGCAGCCGCTTGGAGGGTGCCAGTATAACAAGTTTGCAGAAAATGCCCCAAGGTCATTTAAGGTAAGATGTTAAAATTTTGCTATAAATAATAAGAATTGTATATAGGTAAACTTTATTCAGCACAATATCGACATATAGAGCTTTTTAATAGATGAGATTGTAACAAATATACAAAAAAACATTTTTATTAAGAGACAGTTCCTGACGTTTTCTTGAATAAATGGAACAATATATACCTATAAACGTGTAAATTCAAAGCCAGAAAAGTCAAATGAATGCATCAAATGTTTGAAGTTGTTTGTATATTTATCTTTAATGGTTATAAACGTTTTAGTTTCGGCGCGTCACTTTGTCTATACCCTCAGATTGGCATTGTGAGTAGGAACACCTCTAACACTGCGATAAGTTTTTTATATTGCCCTGACTGCCCAAGGGATGGTTTTACGTACAAAAGCCGGATAGCGTTTTTTCAAGCTTTTTTGAATTGGCCGTTGACTGGTACAACCTATAGTATACTACCTCCTCCGCAGGCCTTTCAAAAAAATAAAACGCAAGCCTTCGTCTCAAATTTCAAATTTCAACCTGCGAAGGGCATACTCATTACGGGCTGTATGGCCTGCGGAGGAGGTAGATATATATATTAAACATTAGTTTTACAATTCTTTTTATAATTAGTGCGATTCATATTTCGTAATTTCATCACTTTTCCAGCAAGCATTTCTATACAGTGGTTGAAAAAAATGACTACTAGGTCTTCGCACAACCCACCCCAGAAGATATGAAAACACGGTACGGGCATCAACCTTGAAAAAACCGGCCAATTTACTGGACCTGCTCGTCTCGATATATCACTGTATTTTATCATCTTATATTAATGTTGATATACGGTATTGAAATTAACGTTTTGTCCGAAAAACTGAATGACAGATTGAAATTTGTTTCACTATATATATAAACTTCAAACTTCGTCGTTTTAAGATTCACTTTATTTCCGCGCGTCTGGCATATATAAGAGACGTATTCCTTCTATTTACCTTGTATTCGGCATAGCCCATAGGCTTATTGAGTAATCAGTCGGGCAAATTTTTTGTCTCCCTAATTTTTTTTGCTAATACGGCTCAACCGCTTACGGCTGTATGAAAATTAATTACTACTGTCTCGTATAACGTTATCTTGAAAATGCATGGAAAACGATTTGAAAAACCCCAGGGATCAATAATCACTAATTGTAAATTAAGCGAAAACTACTAAAAGTTTAATAGTACATGCAGTTAATATATCTATTCTCTAATTTAATTTAAAGCATATATTTTAAAATTTTGGTTGTATAAGGTTAATTAACCAATACATTTATTTTATAGTCTAGCCGCCATTATTTTGGCAACGCTGTCTTACAGCAACGCATCAATGTTCAACAGTCAACCACAATTCACAATAAAAGCTGAGAAAAACAAAGTGTTTGACGAATCCTGTCATATTGGAACGTTCAACATTGGAAGTGGAAACATAGCAGATTGTCTCGAGCACTGTTTGGAGAGCTGTCGGTGTCAGTCGTTTCAAATTTGTAACAAGACAAAATGTCAACTGTGTTCAAGTCACAAGAAAGAGAAGAGTTCATTGCTTCATGACAAAGATGACTGCGTCTATGCTACCTACGAGGTGCGACATTTGACAGGACATTTTCAGGTGTGTAAATACGTTGATTACCAATCTCGTTCCCAGAGTATGCATGCCTGTTCGCGGGTTATACCCCGCGAACAGGCATACTCACATGATAATATATTGGTATAGTGTAGAAGTGAATTCATATCCTTTTGTAATGATTATTTATAAAAGCTATAAAAGTCAAATCCATATTTATAGTAGATGTACACGCATTAAATGGTGGTAAAGTGTATTTTCTTGAGCCGTGAATAGCCAATATTTGTTCTCGTAAAATGAGGGATTTTAGATTTATTTAACATGATCTAAAATTACTAAATGTTTGATTGATTTAATTAGTGCCATAGTAGTGTGTCTCATGGGAAGCGAGAATTTATTTCAGGCCGGTAGAACAAAGACTGGAGGACGATAGTGAGAAATGCGAATGTGAAGAAGAGCGATGCATGCTTCGGATCAGTAACAATTTTACTGCATGCATGCATGCATGTAGTATTTACTTGATTTTTGCTAGAATTAAATATCTATTGGTTTGAAAAAGTCTTTCGATGTTGAGATGCATATATATATGAAGAGATTGAAAGGTTTCTTTAAAATTTTCGTCTTTTGAGAAAAATCAACAAAAACGCAAAGTCAAAACTTTTAAGAAAAGTTTATATTTTTTTAGAAATTGGAAGAGTAATGTTCAGGCATGAGTTGTTTAATTAATGAAGTACAATTGTTGTCAACAATCTGGTCTCTGTGTCAAGAACTCAATATGCAAACCAATCAACTCCCTCAAACAGCCCTGGAAACGTTTTGCCTGCGAATGCCCGGAGGGTTACCATGGAGATAACTGTGACGAGCCAATCACATCATGTGGAGGGTATTTAGACGGTCCTCGAAAATCGGGCATGTACAAAGTAATGGATTCTGAAAAGTCAATGCACGAAGTCTACTGTCATTTTCAATCTGATGTAGCTTGGACTTTGGTGCAGTCTTACAGTTTTGCAAATGGTTCTTCCAACAGTGAATTTAAGCAAGTCCGAAAATCATTATGTGAAAGTCATCCTCTCAGGGAAAATGCTTTAACATGGAGTGGTTATCGATTTAGCAAAGCGAGGATGGAATCTATCAAAAATAATTCAACTTTCCTGCAGTTTACCTGTGACTATGAGAAACACCTTGATCATACAGAAATCGGACTATGCCCAAATTCGACTTCAAATTATTACGACCGATGTTCTTGAATGTAGCTATTTTACTGAATATGTTGCTATTTGCAATGGGTGTGGTAAAGTTGGAAAATATGATTTAAATGAATGTAAAATTAAGCTTCGTCAGAATTCGTACCGGGCCAGGCCCTTGCATGTCCGTATAGACGAAACAATTTCTGCCTGTAAGTTCAACAGTTTGTCTTGTTCCGGCTACGCGTCCGACTTTTTGGCAGCTATCATCGTTCCCCTGAATATGTTAAAAAATTACATCGTTGTGCCCAGAATGCCAATTCTACGACTCAGCTTTGGCTTGGCATGCGTAGGGATAACGCATCACCTCCTTGAGACAAAGAGAACTTCCGGCAGTTCCATTGACGCTTCGGTGCATGGATGAGAGTCACACTGTAAATAATTGCATTAATGCACGTGAACTGTATTTGTATGTATAAAATGTAATGGAACTTGGACCCAGTTCACATCTGGCCAGAAATGGAAACTGTACTGAAATTTGCTCCATTGTACTCTTTTGTCAGTTTGTTTTAGTTTGTGCAACCAACCGCATGGGATTCAAAGGAAAAAGAGATTTTAGTCTTGTTAGATGATGTTTGCATTGCAAACAAGCAAAATCCTTTGTCCATGCCCATAATAACAGCTTGAAAGATGATGCCATATTCAAATAGAGATGAATTTTGACACCGATGATTTTAGTTTTTGATGAATTTAGAACCTATGATTCACCCATTGGACCTTTGAAATCGTGCATCAGCTGTTTTTAAGTATTAATTGGTTTCTTTGGTTCTATTAGACCAGTTAATCCTAGAGTCAAAATTCATCTCTCATTTCCGATGCCTACTAATAATTATAGCAGTATAAAAATCTAGAACACAGCCACATGTATTGAATTGTTTTCGGGACTCTGAATATGAACAAGTATGTTGAAGTTGTGATATATTACTCTTTGGGCTTAGGTTTGTTTGGAAAGTCGAATTTTTCGAAATTCGAGTGATGTAAGTTATTAGCTAGTCCTATATGATTGCTTTTATTCCATTATTTAAATTAATTAGAACTATTTACTGGATCAGCAGGTTTTCGATGAGATATAATTTCCTACTTTTTCGTTGATTAACTACTATAGGTATACTGCATGGAAAACCAAGAAGAACGCCTCCAGCGAGCAACAGCTCAGTTGGCTATAGCTTAACAATTTTCTACGTAAAATCATAAATACTGTCACTGACGATAAGATTAATCAGACCGTAGCTACTGAAGTACATATTTAATCCGATAAACCTCATGTTGTGTCAGTGAATAATATATTTATTTCATTCTGTACAGTTAAATTTCCCGACATGCAATGAATGACGTTTCACTTCTACTGTGATGATGCATCAATGTCAAATTGGCTTCTCATAACAATTACAATAACAACTTGAAAGATGATGCCAGTAATAATTTTGCAGAAAATGCCCCAAACGCGTTTAAGGTAAGATGTTAAAAATTTGCCATAACTATAAGAATTAGAATAGGCAAACTTTAAATAAAAGTTCAGTATTGGTATATATGCAGCTCAAAATAGAAAATGTAGATTTCATTAAGAGAAAATTCCTGACGTTTTCTTGAGTGTAAATGGAACAAGATACGCTTAAACGTGTAAATTCACTTCAAATAAGCCACCGAAGTCAAATGAATACATTAATTGGCATTAAGTAGAAATGCCGCAATAAGTTATTTTATATTGCCCAAGGGCTGCTTGTATACGAAAAAAGAAAACCATGCATATAGCGCTATCCACCGATTAGTGATTTTTACAAACTTATCTTAAATTGGCCGTTCATTGGTATACTACTATGTATCAAACTTTACTTACAAAAATTGAAGATTCCTTTTATAATTAGTGCAATTTATATTCCCAGTTTTATCAAATTCGTGTCACACGCACTTTAACTATCCAGCCTTCGTACAACCCACCCCAGAAAATATGAAAATCATAAAGATCAGGCTTTTGGCTGTTGAATGACATGTTTTTCATCCAGTATGGAGAAAAAATGAGCAATTCCAATAAAAATTGTTTATCGAAATCGCATATTTCCACTGTTGAGAATTGGGTCTAAAACTATTGAAAATAAATTCCCTTTAGGACTCAAGTTGACAATTAAATTTTAATAAAATACCTGATCTTTGTGATTATGAAAAAATTACGTTCATACACCGAGTAATTAACGCACAATGGCATGCTAAATTTAGACTTTTTTAGACACCCTGCATGTATATAGCAGTATATTGAATGTTGACTCCTTTAATTGGAATTTTGTGTAGTAGTTATAATATGTTTTGAGTGCGAACAGGTTATACGTGTGTCATGGCCCATCCATTTGCACAAAACAAATTGATGGCCCACCCAAACTGATGAAAATTGAATTTTATGGCCCATCCTTATTTTCTCCGGTCCATCCTAGCAGTTAATTTATGACCACCGGTCCCTAACTTCTATTCATATATCAATGTTTTTCGTCCCCCTATTTTTTTCTCGCTTGTACGCTTATATATGAAAATTATTTATTAGCGTCTCATACAACGTCATCTTGAAAATGGCATGCAAAACGGTTTGGAATAACCCAGGGATCAATAATTACTAATTGTAAATTAAAACAAAAACCACTAAAAGTATAGTAGTACATGTAGTTATATCTACATTATAATTCAATATAAAGCACATATGTTTTTAGTTTCGGTTGTAAGGGCTAACCAATAAATTTATTTCATAGTCTAGGCGCCATTATTTTGGCAACGCTGTCTTACAGCAACGCATCAATGTTCAACAGTCAACCACAATTCACTACAAAAGCTGAGAACTTAACACAAAGCTTTTGACGAATTCAGTCATAATGGAACGTTCAACATTGAAAGTGGAAAGATAGCAGATTGTCTGGAGCACTGTTTGGAGAACTGTCGGTGTCAGTCGTTTCAAATTTGCGACAAGACAAAATGTTAACTGTGTTCAAATCACAAGGAGGAAAAGAGTTAATTGCTTCATGACAAAGATAACTGCGTCTATGCTACCTACGATGTGCGACATTTGGCAGGTCATTTGCAGGTGTGTAAATACGTTTATTACAATTAATGAATTATGATAATGCTAAAAAATTACATTTTTTACAAGTAGCCAATCATATTACTTCATTTGATATAATATCGAATTATTCGCCTCAGGCTCGGTGATTATCGGGGAATATTCCCCGAGACGAATATCGGGGAATATTTACCGAGACGAAGTCGAATAATTGTTTTAGTATTTTATCCAGCCTCGTACCCAGGCGCAAATAACTAAAAATAGGCAAACTAGAGTGTTTTTATATAGATCAGTGGCTAAGCTGAGCGAGCGCGCGGGGATGCTCCCAAGCACCAAGTGAAATCCATATTTATATTATATACATATACATATACACACATGGTGGTAAAGAGTATTTTCGTGAGCCGTGAATTGCCAATGTTCTCTTAATTAAACACATGCATATGAAGAAATTTTATTTGAGTTATTCCGCTAAACTGAAATAGCTTATCCATTATGTCACCTTTTGAGAAGTCAACAAAAACGCAAAGTCAAGGCTTTCAAGAAAGGTGTTTATATTTTTTAGAAATTGGAAGGGCACTGCTCGGGCATGAGTTGTTCAATGAACTACAATTGTTGTCAAGAATCAGGTCTCTGTCCAAAGAACGCAACATGCAAACCAATCAACTCGCTCCAACAGCCCTGGAAACGTTTTACCTGCGAATGCCCGGACGGTTACCATGGTTATTTTGATTCTGATGGTGCTTGGACTTTGGTTCATTCTTGCAGCTTTGCAAATGGACTTTATAATCAGTTAAAAAAATCTTTATCTCAAAATTTACATGTCGGCGGAAATGCTCTAGTATGGAGGGGCTATCGGCTTAGGAAAACAAGAATGGAATCTATCAAAAAGAGTTCAAATTTCCTGCAGTTTACCTGTGACTATGAAAAACACCGTGATGGGGAAAAATTGGATTATGTTCAAATTCGGCTTGGAAATATAAGCGGCGATGTGCTTGAACTAAACAACGATCATACTTCCTACGTTACTGTTGGCGAAGGATATGGTAAAATTGAAAGATATGATTTAAATGGTTGTCAAGTTAAGCTTCATCAGAGACCGAACAGGCCCTTGCATGTCCATGTTAGGCATGCAATTGCTGACAGTAAATGTAAGGTCAGTGCCAACGATTCGTCTTGTACAGACAAAGACAAGTATTTTGACTGCTATACTTCTCCGTCTGAATGTGTTAAAAAAGTACATCGTTGTGTACAGAATGCTAATTCCACGACTCAGCTTTGGTTTGGCATGCGTAAGGATAACGCAGCACAACTACCTCCTTTAGATGGTAAAACTTCCGGCCGTTCCGTTGAAAGTTACACCGTTAATTAAAGGATTAGTGTCAGGGTCATGCATTGCGGGCTTTTGTTGTTGTTTACATTTTACTCAAATACAACAAATAGCGATAAGCTGATATAAGTCAGACAAAAAGAGCAAGGATTATAAAAGGATGGTTCAAATATATGACGGATTGTAAACACTTTCCAGATCATCTAATCTATTCGTCCCGAAAAATGGCCGCCAGCAGGAGTTTGAGCCCGCGAATTCCTGGTGTGACACCAATCCTTTAATTGCACTGAATGCACGAGTTTGAAATACGAAGCATTAAAGTGAACTATATCTTCAAAAATGCTATGGAACTTGGACTCAGTTCACACCTGACCAGAATTGGAAACTGCACTGAAAATTTCTCCATTGTGCCCTTTTCTTAGTTTCTCTCATAACAGCGCCATTGTCTTTCAAGCAGACGCTTCATCCAGTCCTAGTTTTGAGATCAGCGCATGGAGATCAGCGTAACTCGTCTACTCGTTCACATCCGTCAAATGAAGAGACATCACATTATATAGAAATCGCAGCAAAAATTGCAAGTAATTTAAAACTGTTTGCATGTACATATACAGGGTGCCTGAGAAAATGCAGTAGCTATGTAGAAGCCAAGAACGCTCTGTGTATAACAGAGAGCCAACAGCTGCCATATAGCTTCTTTTCGATGTAAAATCGCAAATACTATCACTGACGACAAAATTAATCAAAGCGTTGCAACTGAAGTGAATATTTAATTCCATAAACGGTGTTGTGTCAATGAATACTTATTTCATTCTGTACAGTTAAGCTACCTCGTTTCATTAAATTGATGTTCTTCAATAAATAACATCAGCACGTAGAATCTACGCACGCTCAGTAAACATGAACTAGCTCATTTTGGGTGTCAATTTGTTACCTCAATTTCCGATCTTGAAGGGGAACTGTTAAATAGAACTGATATTAATCCAAGATACATATAAAAGGCAAATTTAGATTCTTGATCTTGATTTGTATAGATGACAATTTTTCCTACCAACAAACATCAAGCTTGTGGGCTTGTCCTAAGGCTACTTGTTCCCATGCTCTTTTCGGGAGAGCTCATTATCAGGCTCTTTAATCTAAGTTAACTAGAAATAGTTGAGAACAATGAATGTCTGGAGAGCATATGGAGAGCTGTGGGATTTGTAAAAAAAGAAGTAGGACGAAGCACAACATTTTCCCTGGCCTCCAGATATTGTTATGCAAAGTGTTGTTAGACCAGCTGCACAGGGCATATTCGCCACAGACTTGTGCCCAGAACGTTGCCGTACGTTGCCTCGGGGATTTTATTTTTAATTCACCATCCCGTCCGGCTATATATTATAGAGAGTTGTGAAATAAAATTTTGAAAAGGGAAAATTTTACACTGTTCTTTCTTTCATATAATGTTACATGGAATTTGAACTTATTAATTACCAGTTGAAATACTTATATAGTTACACGATCGTTTTAAAGTTCCAATACGACGTCACAAGGTAATCGTGCGGCTTGGGATTCTACATTTTCCGTACGATCAACAGTAGCTTGACAGCAAAAACACTTAGTTCCGTCAGCATGAAAAAAACATAAAAGTTTTCCAAAATAAATATTTAATTCTAATCTGTGGGCGTGTGCCTGAATAATCACCATTATAAGACTTTGTTATTGAGGAATGAACAGCTGCAACACCACATTCGTATAGTGCAACAACAATGCTTGTTAATATTCTTGTTCTTATTTGTAGTGCATGTTTAAAGCGGAAGTATAGTTTGGACGAAAGGGAAGAAGACGTGTTTTTTTTTTCTAAATATATATTTATTTTCACAGTTACTTCGACCAAGTTTTCAAAACAATAATCCTCAATCACCCCCCGCGACATTCAATAACACCACGCCTTCTACACTTCCGTCCAAACCACTTCCGCTTTAAACACTACATCATTCTTGTGGTTATATTACTAGTTGTTCTTGTGGTTTTCATTGGCCTGCCTGCATGGTGGGGATAAGCCTTGCGATATGCCTATATTATGACTATATAATCCCAGTAATGAAACCTTTCCTTTAATGCTCGTTAAAATTTATTGAAGTCTCATGTAAAAATGGTATTCATGCATGGATCTTATGGTTTTTGGCGTGGAACCAGGGGGTGGGGGAATAGGCCAGTCTAAAGGTTTACACAGGCGGGCTTAGCTCCCCTAGAAATATATAAGGTGTGACTATATATTTTCAATATAACTTTATAAGTCATATTGTTTGTATTTGAAATAAATATTTTTTGAAAAAGCTGCCAGCCAGTTTCCATCTATACAGTTATTCAATTCTCGAGTTCAATTATACCTCGCTTGCTATAGCTATTATATTATATTTACATTTTTACTTTTACATTTATTAACTTTGCCAGCAGAAAATTACAATAACAAATTACATTTTTTATTAACTTTGCCAGCTGGCATAAACTTAGGCTACAATATTCAATAACAATTTAAAATTGTGTTGCTGGGTCACCGCACAGTTCATGCCAATTACTGCGGACCCAAATGTATATAGCCTTAATTCTAAGCCCTACCAAGTCATTCACAATATACAGTAGTTTCCAAGCTAAACAGTAAAGTAAAGACATGGGTTTCAATAATGTTATAAAAGTTCTAATTTTAGCTAAGACTTAGTTGCGATATTACTTACTCTACTGTCTGCAATTAATAATATATGATAAAAGTGCTCAATGAATTTTTTATAGATCACGAATGAATTAATCAAGTGCCTTAAAACACTGTAACAATCGCGAATCATGCATGGGTTCACTATTTACACCCCTATTGCACTTTTTCACGCTTATCAACTGAAATTTAATTTGCTTGTAATGAAACAAATCGGAGTTAGTTATCCCATCGATCTATAAAGAGCGACATGCATGCATGGCACTAAGTTTCAATAATGTTATAAAATTCCCAACTCTATATAGCTTAGTTGTGACATTACTTACTCTCCTGTCATTAATAATAAATCATTTCGAAGTTGTTTATGCACTTCGCTATTTTCAAAAGTGACTAACAATAAAGCACTGTAGCAGTCGCGAATCAGCCATTTTGTGGAGAAACATTTTAACAGAGAAAGGTTATTATAAAATTCGTTAAATGTGTACATATGGAATATGAAATTTGCCAACTCATGCATGCTTTTCAAAATTAATATTTAATTCCTATTAACTTACAGTAGCCTCATAGGTGAACTGTTTAGGAATAATTGCTTCATTAACTATAATACTTGCGACAGCCTTGCATGAAGACAACAGCGCTCTTTTACTGAGTTTAATTAAAGTGTCAAGAACAATTTCGAAAAAAAATGTTCCAAAGACTTTTGAGGTAGGATGTCAATCATTTTTTGATAAGATGTTTTCTAAAGCAGGTGTTATGAACTAGGATTGCGCTCATGAGTGATGTGCTCAATCTAATCATTTTAGTTAATATATGTTTATATTCATTTTAAATTCATTCAGCCTTTCAACGCCGGCATACTTTTCAAACTTGAGTGCTTGCATGGTTCGCGAGAAGAATATAATTTCTTGTGACTGAGCTAGAACAACCGAATGTCGTTTTGATGATCTGAGATAAGCAATTTATTGTTTTAAACAATCTATAGAGTATAGTGTGTTTTTACAGTGCAATTTGTAAATTCCATATTTTTACGATAACTAGTTAAAAACGAGAGATAAGCGCAAAAACTTCGAAGGGCAGTGAAGCTACATGAAATGAAACCAAAATTGTCAATTATACTTAAAATCTGCCAAGAATGGCGCCCTCAGAATGCCGGCCTTCGACTCAATAAGGTCAACTGTGTCCTCCGCAATTCAGCTTAGCTTATACAAGTAAGAATGATTAACACATCCCAACTTATACTTATACTTAGTTTAGTTTAGTACGGTTTAATAGCATGCCTATATGTCTATTTATGAGTTACAAGGTCACTTGCACGTCTGGTTTTCCTATATATACTACTAGCAGAGTATTAGGTATTTTCTCTTAATGTGCAGCAACTTCATTGGAACTAATTAGTTTTTCATCAGTGAAAATGTCTGCATAAAGCACGTAACCTATATGCAAGTCTCGATCCACTTCATAAGCTGACCGACCTAATTGCATGCAACATACGCGGAAAATTCGACTTATAGTCATAGATATTATCATGGTCAATCAAAACTTTCAGCTTGCCCAGTGTTGGAACGACTCGTACGTTAAATAGTCAATTTTCAATAAGCCGTGGCTTATTTAGGCCTACAGCTTTCAACCCTGGGCTTATTTTAGCCGTGGCACGCCAGTCATTCGCGACTTATTTAAAGCTGGTTTTCGACAAGCGATTTTTTTCGCGCGAATAGACTTTAGATACTTTTGTCTAAAACTAATTAGTTCCAAATGGTTCCAGCCAAAAGCTCAAGAACAAACTGAGCAAATAGTCGCTTTGCGCGAAATAATTCGCTAGAGCTGAGTAGAGGAAAATCGGCTTTAAGCCGCAGCTTATTTTCGCTCGAATAAATGGTCCTAAATGGCCATGCCCAATAAGCGTCAATTATACTTAAAAACTGGCCAAATAAGCGAAAGAAAGAGCTTCACTTATTGAAACTGTCTTAAGGTGGCTCGCTACAGTTTACTCGAAATTGGAAAATCTCCTATTTGGACCCAATTTTTCAACAGTTCCTATATGTTGAAGACAAAGAAAGTCCGATTAGAAAAATAATAACTACAGATCTAGAGTTGGATTTTTTCGAAAGAAGGAATACTGCCGTTGCCATGGCAACAATGACGCTTCGATATTTGGGTTTAAAGTTATTTAACATGAAAATAAGGTCGGTTACCCCCATTTTTTATTTCATAAAAAGAATTCGTTTAGTATTTTTCAGGGAAAAGTACTATTCGTTTAAGCCGCAGGTTCGATTCCTGCCAGGGATCTATAATTGCATTTTTCGCAGCTGTTCCTGGTTAGATCTACGGTGATAAATGTATGTAAATTTACACT